CACTGAGTTTTTAACAGTTGCTGAGGCAGGGGACATTTCATACTCATGCCAGAAACGAGTTCTCATCGGCACCGACACGTACAAAAGAAAAAATGAAGTGCCTTCTGCGAATCAGATTTACTTAGCGCTTGTTCCAATGCGATATTCACTGTGAAGAGAGCGATTAGAGTAGAAGGCAAAACCGAATCATGTGCAAGGCCTATTTCACAGTGCTTCACCGTGGACTTGAACGAGTACTGATGGTGATGTGCTGACTGAGGTTCTTTAGATGTGTTGCATGGCGACGAACGTTGTGAGGATGAACGTCTTTTAATGTCAGACAATTCAAGTGAATATTTATTAAAAATTAGGTCTTGCGACCAACGCACCGCTCCACTGGTCCTAGACGCTTGAGAGTGTTTTTTACACAGACCCTGACTCCATGACATCTGAACCCATGTAATACATATATCTGAATATAATCATTAAGTTTTCATGTACATTAGAAACAGTTTTTGATGCCTCGTCAAAGCAAATGAGAAGTTCACCTTTGATATGAGTAAGGTATGTCTCTATTCAATAAAAATAATGCAGTGCGCACCGATGCACCATGGGTACTAAAACACATTGTAACCGTAGCTTGCCTTAACAACCCCGTAAGTATTTGGAGGAGGAGTGCAGCCAGGTCTTTGAGACGTTATGTGCGTATTAGCACGTCGTAGCCATAAGTGAACTATGGCTTCAAATGTTATTTCAAATTAATTCTAAAACCTAAGCAGAATCTGGGATATGTGATAAATGCTGATTCAAATGACCTTAATGATTTAATTAACTACAAACAATAAATTCCTATAGGCTTTTACGCATACCTCCAATTCTTTGTATGTATTGGTCCGTGTTCAAGTTTCAAGAGGGAATACATTGCTGCAGACAGGCTCAAGCCACTCATTCCGTCTCCCCATTCTTTTTCAGCCCTAAAACATAAGCATGATATATTTTACAATAGGCAACTCACTGACGCAGAGTTAACCTCACCCCTGGTATTCAATGTATTTGTACGCGATAACGCCAATCACCACGGACAAAATTGCGAATCCCCAGTGACTCATGAACATGACTGCGACGCACAGCAGCGCTCCAAATAAAGAAAACAGCCTGAAAACATTGAATAAGCACCCTGATGATTAACAGAATGAAACAAAACCAATTAATAAGTAAAACGACTGACAGCGAAATCAATGTAACAAATGATTCGACACGGTGCAGATTTGAAGGTATAAATCATATTCTAATAGGTGATAAGAACTTTGTCATTGAGACACGCCATCAAATTCTCCAAATCCTTATAATCTAAATACAGTGACACTTGTATTCATACTTCAAGTACCGGTTGAACGGCTGTTCTAAAAGGGGATCAGACTTCGAAACATAATCTCATCTATAATATATTCTTTATCATTCATCCGATTTGCCCTTGCTGTGGACCTGCTATGAACGAAAGTCATCTTCTTGCATTGCTACCTTACCTTTTCTTGAGGATATTCGCAGTGAGTGATTGCTCGTCAGTCGTCGTGGGCCATTTCTGATGTGTCTTCAACCTTTATTCTGAGCAACTGATTCAGAAACGCAGAGCAATTTGTGTGGCTTCGGTCACAGACGTATATCATTGGCGAGCGATGGTCTCAACTCACCGGAGCTGGCATCTGCACTGCTTACAGGTTCTCACTTCAGGTGGAGAAAGTGTACACAAAATACAGAAACTTTACTCTCCAGAAAGCCAACCTTGTTTTTGTCACGATTTGAACGGTGGGCAATGACTGAAGCAAGAAAATATTTAAGGTCAGATACGGCCCAGTGTATACTTTCTGGACGATGTGACAGCCAAAAGGCTTACTATAAACGAATAACCGTAAAGGATTGAATAAACAAAACAACGGTAATAAGAGGGTTAAAGATTTCCTTATGTATATTTGAGCAAATATGCTTAGAGGAAGAATACCCAAACTTAAATACACTTAAATTGGCTACTCCGCAAAATTATTAATTAAATCCCGATGTTTTGAATCGAGTTGGATCAACTTCAGAAGATATTATATAAGTACAATAGGCAATATTAGCAATGCCCATATTAGCACGTTAGACATTGCCAACATTGTCTGTTTCATAATTATGGATCCAGCTCGATCTGGATTTACTTTAACAAAAGTGATATGCGAAGTGAACGCTTTGACAACAGCATAAACAGGCTTCATTTATACACAATACAAACAATATGGTCATTCGAATGACTGACTGGCACTTTGTTCGACTTACTGATCTGTAAACCGCTTGAAGATTATAATGATCAAGGACACCCACTGACATATAGAACTCAAGCAATCACTGTAATAGTGCGATTTCGCATAAAAGGATTGCCGACCGACGTCCTTATTGATCTGCAAAATGGGATTACGACAAATTACAGTCACGCCGCTTTTATTCTGAATACAGAATGACAACCTCTCACAGGACCGTTGAGAAGAAAGAGACGACCGACACGACACTAGACGGATGACATGCAGCAACCAACAGAAACGGATGTTACCCTGCTTTTATTACATGATACAACAACGATGCCAAGTTGAACAAAATATTTTCGACCATTTACGCAGAGAACGAAATTTACTGCTGTCTAATTCAGTAAAAAATATTAATCTGCAGTGTAAAGGGCCCACAGCGGTTGCTAAATGCTAATTGCGCGTGTGTTGCATTACGTCATATGCTACAAAACAGTATTGAAAAGCACGAATCGTTACCAGTGATAGAACCGAAACCTCGGTCGCCAATTGGGAGCTTTAAGAAAGCCTTGCAGGAAGCAAGCTGCGTTCACACTAAGGTAGCACATGAGGAAAAACCTATGAACGAAAACGCTGAGAGACCATGATTTTGACCATAGCTTTGAGCGCGCTTACTGACTTATAAGAGCCGTGATACTTTCCAGTTGGGCAATGAGAATGCCGAATTCACATAAGGCTATGCTTAACAACGTAGCCAGCCAAGGTTCGCCATTTTTCCTCGTCGCCTTGAACGGTTCCAAGATCGGGATCACTCCGTCCTGTGCGATCGCCCGTAGAAGTCTTGGGGCTCCTAAAATCGAAACAAAAAACATTTCCACTAATTAGCATAAACACAAAATAGGCAACAATAATTTGGAAATGAAAGACTATCTTGCAACTGCGATTTCATTGTGGGCATCGACTGGCTTCTTCTGTCATATGGCAGAGGTTACTAGTAAATGCACGTTTGCAGGCCAAGATTTCTGCGGTATCTAACGCTGATCAGAAAAGTATTCGTGACGTGAGTCATGTTGCCATTGAATTTAAGAAATGGACATTTAATAAGTACCTAGAGGCGGAGATAAGACAGAACTCGACTAACCGATTAAGCACTGCATCCCGGCACCCGCACTGGCCAGCATAGAGCCGACAACGATGACCATTGGGTGCGGTACTGCCAGTTCCGCAACCACCAACTTTCCGTACGCACTTTGCCCAAACTTGTCACGTATGAACATTTCGTTCACCGAAGCACCGAAAAAAATCGCGCCCAACAAATCTAGATAAAAGAGAATATTATGTCAAGCTCTGTGGAGCCTGAAACAGAAACGACAGAAAAGCAAGTCTATCACTGACAGTGGAATCTTACTTTAAATTCGTTAAGTTTCATTACTATGTTGCAGTCACGTGCAATCATCAAATAACCTTATAAGTAAGGCAAATTTACTTATGCTATGATATAACTTAGCTGTGTTTTGGATGAACAAAACGTTCAAGGAACATCCATGTCGAGGAGTGACTATTTCGCTTGTTTGCTCAGTAAAGTCATTCATTTCTCAGCTAGCAACGTCACGAACTCAACGCGAATCCTATCCTTGCTATCGATCAAGACGACCATGGTGATTGCCTGCAAATGTGTAGGTAAAATTACTCTATGTTTCGCTGTGGCAAACATGAACCGGTATTCACTAAAAACAGCAAATCACAGTCTTATCGCTTATAGCGCAATATGTAGACTGTCGGGTGACAGGCATTTCGGCTATATGCTAACCGCCCCCTGTAATCGTCTCCTACAGCTGCCAAAATTCACTACAGGATCTCCTTTGAAGAAAACTCCTGAGATATGCGCCGAAAAGACGGTATCTGTGATCACTCAATAGAAAACAACTTTGCGTTGTGCATGCTAAAACCGTTTCAGCACTGAATGACCTACAGCGCAAGAATAAAGCATCCCATTTTTAAAATTGGTGATTTACTCAGTAATACCCGGTCAACGGGCTGATATTTTTATTTAAAGCATTAAACTTTAAACAATATGAGTAACGTTTTTCCGTCACCCTTGTAAAGCTTTAAATATTGACAGAAATATTAATATAAAATCAATATTAATTATTTATATTTTATTTCATATTCTATGATACAAAGAATATTTTGTCAGCAGCCAAGTGATAAGCTACATGGCTATGCAAC